GGGTGGGGCGAAGCGCCCCGCCCCTTCGCTCAGCTGTCGCGCGCCGCTGCCCGCGTGAGGGGTCTCGGCCGGCGGGAAGCAGGAGGGGAGGGGGGGGCGCGTGCCGCCGCCATCATGCAGCGCCGGGTGTTCGTGGTGGGCGTCGGTATGACCAAGGTACGGGGCCGGGCCGAGCGGGTCTTGTCTCGGCGGCGCTCCTGAGGCGCCTTCCCTTCTGGCGTTGCCCGTTGGAGCCGCTGCCGGCGGCTGAGGGGGCGCGGGAAGGGGGACGGTGGCGCTGTGGGAGCCGTGGGCTTCCTCCTCGAGTGGGGGGATAAGGCTCCTCACAAGATGGGGTCGCTGTCGCCCGGGGGGGAGCTTTTGCTGAGAGGAGAGGCGTGTGGTGCCAGCCTGGGCCTGCGGGCCAGGCCTGGGACGTAGCGGCTCCGCGCAAAGTTCACCTTTGGTTGGTATGTCGGGGAGGAGGGATCCGCCGGCCAAGTTAAACGTTCTGACGCGCCGTGGAGCAGGTCGATATAACAGACTTACAACGGCCAAAGCGGGTCCCCGTGTCGCCGCAGCCCGGGGTCAAGGGCTCGTCCCCTCGCCTTGGATGGCCGGGGAGCCCACGGGCTCGGGGGAACTGTCGGCCGCAGAGCGGGTGCCCTGCAGACACTCGCCCTCCTGGCGGGTTTCTGCCCCTTCCTGGGCATTCGGCTGCCAGCACGGAGTTCACACAGTGTGGCACATGTTGAAAGAGGAGCAAAAGCTGAAGGAACCTTTTTTTATCTCGGTGGATGAAACTTAAGGCGACTTTGGTACTTGCCAAGGTAGTCAGAACCCCCCCAGACACGCTTTTTAAATACCCATGCAGCAACAAAAAAAGTTATTTCTCCAGCATGTGATGTGATAGCAGAGGAAATAAGACTCAATTCTGTTAATCGTGTTTATTGGACTGGATTGTAGAATGTAGGTTTGGAAGTTATTGGACCTCACCTTAAACTCATTTGTGATGTGCTCAAGGAAGGAACAACAGTGTGGAAGAGACAATTAAAACTTGTCACCATACTGCATCGTAAGCATTTTATTATGAAGTCTTTTAGGGTTGTATCCTTTCTCTTTTTTTAATCTTAATGATTTAAAGTCTGCTGAAAACTGGTATACCTTTTCAAAACAACAGTCTGTGTTTCCTGTGTGTGTGATTGTCAGTTCCACAGATCATGCCTTTCATTTTCAGTAGTGGATCATCTCAGTTACCAGTTTAGCATGATTTCAGAAATTGTCGATACTCTTTTTCTCTCTTTGTTAGCCCAGGTAACATCAGCTGCTCTTGCAGACTTTTACAATGATCAATTCACTGACTGATTTTTCTTATGACCTTCAGTATGAAGGTTCTCTGTCTAAATTAAGGAAAGGCGGCACTGCAGAAAGTACAGCTAAGTGTTGCAAAAGACTGGAGTTGGGGAGGTAAGCATAAGGAGGTAGCAAATTAACTTTTATATACTAACAGTGAAGGTCAAATAATTCGTAGAACTGTAAGTAGTTAGTATGAGGATTTTTTCTTAGCAGTGACACTTTTTGTTAATGATGTAAAAATGCAAAACACATGCATTTGTTGGTGGACTCTAATGAGTCATACTACAAAGAAGTACTGCCTCTACTCCAGTGGTGAGGGGTAAGGTACAATATGATTTGTAACAAAGTGGAATAAGGGTTGGGAAAAGGAGGCTTATGTAGAATTAAGTTCCATACAAAGAACAAGCATTTTCCTGTTACAAATAGGAGTATAGCAAAATAAAGTGGAAAGGAAGTATTTATCAAAGCCTTAGTGAAGATTATGTCATGTATTGTAACAAATCAGCGAAAATGGTGGTATTCTCTGTCCCACCCAGAGGATTTGGACAGGGTTGTTGTCCATCTCCACACAAGTAATGGATCTTCTTTAAGACTGAGCAAAAATGGTCCTCAGCTTCCATAAAATTGCACTGTTTTCTGGTTTTAGACATCACAGGGTCTGGCAGTAGCACATGGGAATTGTGCAGATTTTGTGCATGCACTTTTGGGTCAATGTCGTGGTTTAACCCCAGCCAGCAACTAAGCACCATGCAGCCGCTCACTCATTCCCCCTCTCCCCCTGTGGGATGGGAGGGAAAATCAGGAAAAGAAGGAAAACTCATGGGTTGAGATAAGAACGGTTTAATAGAACAGAAAAGAAACTAATAATGATAATGATAACACTAATAAAATGACAACAGTAATAATAAAAGGATTGGAATGTACAAATGATGCACAGTGCAATTGCTCACCCCCCGCCGATCGACACCCAGTTAGTCCCCAAGTGGCGATTCCCCTGCCCCCACTCTCCCCAGTTTATATACTGGGCATGATGTCACTTGGTGTGGAATACTCTGTTGGCCACTTTGGGTCAGCTGCCCTGACTCTGTTCTGTGCCAACTTCTTGTGCCCCTCCAGCTTTCTCACTGGCTGGCCTTGAGAAGCTGAAAAATCCTTGACTTTAGACTGAACGCTACTTAGCAACAACTGAAAACATCAGTGTTATCAATGTTTTTTGCATACTGAACTCAAAACATAGCACTGTACCAGCTACGAGGAAGACAATTAACTCTATCCCAGCTGAAAACAGGACAGTCAAATTAAATTGTTTGCATTATTTAAAACTGATTGTTCACAAACCTGTTTCTAAGTTAAATATAAAGCTTTTAAATATACCAATTTGAGCAAAAGGTGTATTAAATCTCACTGTGATTTGTTCTTGGGGTTTTTTCCTTTTCTTTTTTTGTTGCCAGTTCACAAAGCCTGATGAGAAGAGCATTGATTATCCTGACATGGCTAAGGAGGCAGGTAATTTAGTAATAAAGCATTTAGTTTGATTGCTGACACTTATTTTAAGTCTTACAGTTAATCTTTTTATTATACATATGAAGGAACAGCTACTGTTCAGTAAATAGATACATATAAAAAGCAAATCTAAAACTGATAAAAAAAGAACACTCACAAAATCCATAACTGACCTGTTCAACTCAGGGGCCTTTCAGTACCGAAGTCAGAAGGATAGCTTAAAATTGAATTGGACACTTAAATAATTTCATACCTACCTATATTATTCAAACATACTTTCATTGGGACAAACAACCTTTGTGCATGAACACAGAATTGACTACATGAAATTTTCTGATAAAGGAGCCTGTTCAGAAGTCAAAATACTGCAAAATTGTCCTTGTGAGAATTAAGATGCAAGACTGTACTAACCATTTGCATCATATAATAAGGAATTTTTACAGCTTGCTCTTGTTTGTGAATGCATGAATCATACATACTATTCTAGGTATGCTTGTTATGGTCGTGAGAGCTGCTTTTTTTTTTTTTCCCTTCAACTTCAAACTTTTTTTCAACTTTTAAACTTTTTTTAGGCCAGAAGGCTTTAGCTGATGCTGGGATTTCTTATTCAGAGGTGGAGCAGGCATGTGTGGGTTATGTTTATGGTAAGTAATGTCATTGGGAGGTGGCATCCGTGACATTTGCAGACATCTGTGTGGAGGAAGTATGGGGGATCCCATCAATTTCAGGTTATAATTTTTAATTGTGTCAGTTTGTAGAACTCTTACTTTTAAAAAAATTATTATTTTTAGTGATCATAGAGCTATGTCTGTTTATTTGTGGAGTTTATAGTTCTAGTCATAGGTATGGAAAGACTTCCATAAAATTGTCTTGCAAATGTGTTTTATACAAGTAGCTCTTTCAGCAAGATCAGGTGGTATACTTATTCAAGTGGTGCAAAGCTTATGTATTATGCTTATACCAGTAGACTTGAAAATTCTTTTATTCTTTGCATGATGCTGTGTGTACACTAGAATGGATATGCTTGTTTATCCATTTTGAGTTGAAGACACTTGCTAATGGGTATTTGGGGGATCAGACATGTACTGTGTCCTTGCACTTTCAGCCCAAGAGCACATAAGAGAGATCTGCTTGGACTCAACTCTAAGTGATAGATGAGATCTACTCTGTGAGAGGTTCATAACTATTTTAATCCTGCGGACATGTATAGAAACATAACCATGGTTTAATGTACTATATGAGATTATTGAGAGTACCTGCATTAGTATGGCTCCAGAATAATGCTTCACAACTGATGTAGACAAAACTGAGTTGTTCACACACCAACGCAGTGCTGCCCTGCCTTCATTACCAGCAGGACCCTTATCGTGGTTTAACCCCAGCCAGCAACTAAGCTCCACACAGCCACTTGCTCACTCCCCACAGTGGGATGGGGGAGAGAGAATCTGAAGGGTAAAAGTAAGAAAACTTGTGGGTTGAGATAAAGACAGTTTAATAGGTAAAGCAAAGGCCACACACGCAAGCCAAGCAAAAGAAGGAATTCATTCACCACTTCCCATCAGCAGGCAGGTGTTCAGCCATCTCTGGGAAAGTAGGGCTCCATCATGCCTAACGGCTACTGGGGAAGACAAATGCTGTATTCGGACAACTCCGAATGTCCACCTCCTTCCTTCTTCTTCCCCCAGCTTTATATGCTGAGCATGATGTCATACAGTATGGAATATCCCTTTGGTCAATTGGGGTCTGCTGTGCCAGCTGTGTCCCCTCCCAACTTCTAGTACACACCCAGCCTACTCGCTGGTGGGGCAGGGTGAGAAGCAGAAAAGGCCTCGACTTGGTGTAAACACTGATCAGCAGTAATGAAGATGTCTCTGTATTACCAACACTGTTCTCAGCACAAATCCAAAACACAGCCCCATACTAGCTACTGTGAAGAAAATTAACTCTATCCCAGCCAAAACCAGCACAACCCTCAAACAGATTTCTAGTAGACACCCTCAGCAGAGGCTTTTAACTTGGAGTCACTGCTTGTTGTAGTGAGAGGAGATGATGTTAAATGACTGCTTTGAACCTTTCCCGTCACTCCAATTCACAGATGCCTGATATATTTCTCAAAGCAGTCAAAATCAGATTTCTATTATGGGGAAATTGGTTTCCATTACAAAGAGAGTTTACCAATTACTTTCTTTTTCTCTATTGATGACTGTATTATGGCAACTGAAGTAGGGTCAGTCAGCTGTGATACCTGTAGCAGCTTCCAAGCCGCACATCTAAGACATTTCTGTCCAGTCCAGTTACTGTCTGTTGATTCACGGCCTGGTGGCACAGAAGCAGGACAAACTTCTGTTTTTAAAATCTGATGATTTTCATCTTGTTTCTAAGGTTCTGGCACTGTGGATACTTGAGAGACATGCTCAAGATGACAGTTTGAAGGTTCACGTTTACAGTTTAAGTGGTAGCATTGCACATACATGGTGGGATTTCTTTTTGCTAGTGAAGTTTGAGTATGTACTTATTTTAATGTTGTGTCTCTGTATAAAGGTGACTCAACCTCTGGACAAAGGGCTATCTATCACGGTTTGGGTTTAACTGGCATTCCTATCACTAATGTTAACAACAATTGTGCTACTGGATCAACTGCTTTGTTCATGGCCAGACAACTAGTAGAAGGAGGTGAGTTGTTTTGCTCTGGGCCTGGGTAATACATATTCTTTATTTCTATAAATATAACTTGAATGAAGAACAGAACTAGTGAATGTGTGAGTACTCTGAGTTGTAAATGGCCTATCCTCATAAACAAAATTGTGTTTTCTGCCTCACTCAGCTGAAAAGGTTGGTCAGTTGTATATACAAACATAAGACCAAGCACTTAAAAGAGTAAGACTATCACTACGAACTAGAGCATTGTGTGTGCACCTAAGAGACTGTGTCTGTGATGCAGTAAGATGATGTATATGGATATAAATGTCCTTTCCTGTGTCATAAGCTGTGTGAACCTAGTAAGTAGCAAGCCAGTTAAGTTTTTTCTGGAAGAATTGTTTGGAGTAGTGCAAAACAAGTTGCATTATAGTACTGTAAGACACTAGACTCTGCAGGATGCAAAGGAGAGAAGAACCCGCTAAAAAGCATAGCTTTTTTCTTTTTTTTTTTTTTAACTTGAAGTTAACACAAGTGCTTGACTAACGCATTTTTGGAAGGGAGGGTAAGAAAGCAATGTCTTGTGAGAGACTATGCTTTAAACTGACAGGTGAGTGTTTCTTTCTGTTTCTGCAGTTCCTTTGTGGACTTTGATACTTTCTTTCACTCAAATGCTGATGTTTCTGTAATGAAAACTATAGTATATTCTGTATGATTATTTTAGTATTTGTGGCAGAGACATAAGTGCTTCGTCATCTAAGATAATTGCTGTCAAACAGTTTAAAAATAAACCCAAACCCCGTAGTGATCTCTCATTCTTCAGTATCAATGTTTGTATCATACCACTCCCACCCCAATTTGACTCTCTTTCAAAAATGAAGAAAGGAGGAAGAGCAGCTGGTAGGTGTTTATGTATACTTCTTGTAATTGAATAGTTGTTAGTACATAATGTCATTTATAATTGTGTTTTAAATAGCCACAAATTTTATTTTAAGGTTTGGCAAACTGCGTTCTGGCACTTGGCTTTGAGAGGATGGCAAAAGGATCCCTTGCTTCAGGTGTAAGTGTCTGAAACACTTTATATGTTTCATTGTAGTCGTAGGTGGAATATGCCTCCTCATTCTCTGAGTTGCTTTAAGATGTTGCTGTAGGTGATTACAAAATAAACCATTATTTTGATCCATGGAAACTTCTGATGAGTTTTGTGATTGTGATTGCAGCTATGATACACAAATTTTGTATGGAATGTTTTAGAATTAATTTTATGTAGTATGTCAGGCTTCTAGTATTTTGCCAAGAATACATTAAAGGCAGGGTTAATAGGGAGTCATGAAAATACCAGATAGAATACCAAAGCATTGAGCAATTGAAGCGTCTTTCTCGAACTGACACAGCAAATCAAAGAAAGAATCTGGGTCTTCTGGCTTTTGGCTTGATGCTTACTCAGTTCACCAGTTAACACACTTTCCAAAAAACTAAGGACTTTGTAAACCTTTCTTTCTTGTCTCTTCTTTGTTTTTACTGGAGAAGTGGGGGGGGGGGGTTGTTTGTATTTTGCCTTATGGCAAGCAATATTAGAGCCCATGTTGTTTAATTACAGAACTGCAAAATTTGATAATATATGCAGAGGTTTGGGTGAGAAATGTTAAATTTAACAACTGATTAAAATGACTAAGAGTTGTCTTTAACATGCTTTATGATATTTCATCTAAGCTTAATTGAAAATACTAATACAGTATTAATTTTATACTTGGAACTATATTAACTATAGGATTTTACGCTGAGTTGAAAAATACCTGAAGTCCTCTGCTGAAAATAGCGACTGCAATAGAAGTGTTCCTTACCATGAATCAGTGCAGTAATTATAATGTTAAGCATTTTCTGCTTATTTACTCTTTCTTATAGTTGCGAAATTATGAGTGCTACAAAACATGTCACTGAAGTGCAACATACTGTCCAGTGGAATTGTTACAATATCAGGAAAACCACTATTTTGCTTGAAATGCATGGCACTTTTGTGGTGATGCTGTAAAGAAAAGGAAATTATGACTTGCTTTGTAACTATTTTTCTTCTTTTTAGTTTTCAGACAGAGCTAACCCGATTGACAAACATTTAGAAATTATGATAAATAAATATGGCTTAGCAAGTGCTCCAGTAGCGCCTCAGATGTTTGCAAATGCTGGAAAAGAACATATGGAGAAATATGGTATGTTAAAACACATATTTTCATTGTCCTCTTTTAATGAAGTGATTTTTTAAAATAATATATTAGGATTTCATTTTTAAAAAACGATAGCTTTCAGTGTCCTTTTACCCAAGTGCTACAACTGCAACATCTACAGCTAACACAGATGGGAATACATTTGGATAAAGAGTTATCTACAGAAAAGTTGGTGATGGGTAGGCAAACTAAACCATCAAGAGACGGAATTAAGGCTGTGACACAGAATGTCTGGTAATCGTGCTAATGGTATGGTTTGTGCTTCTGTAAGGTCTGGGTGATAAGGTTGCATAACTTCCTACATTTTTTCCTTGTGTCTTAGGGTAGGTAGATAGGCTTGGGACTGAATTTTTTGACAAAAACTTTTGGGAATTTGATTCAATATATAGTACTAGGCTGGTGCCACTGCTGTTTCTTACCCCCTCACCAGACAAGGGAATTGGCTCCAAGGGAACAGTCTGGCCTGTTGAGCATATTTTATTTGCATTTAGTTTCAGACTAGTATATGGAAAAATTTTAGACTTAGACTCCAATATTGCACTGCAGCTGTTTAGCACTGATAGGAAAATGAGCATTCAAGTTTCAGTAATACCTCAAATAATATACACTTACTTTCTGTATTTTTGTGTAAGTGTTAAATATCCAAGTAGGATGTTGTTAGCTAAAACTCAACCATGTTTAGTAGTCTTTATCTAATTTTTAGACCTAACTTGAGTTCTAAGGAAAGCCTTGATAACAGTGAGTCTCTTGTAAAGATGCTTGTAAAGGTTAAATTCTTATGACACAGTATTTAAACTGCTATGTTAGCACTGTTTGGGTAAACAAAGTATTTCAACACAGCTTGCTTTCCCCTTCCAGGGACAAATCCAGAATACTTTGCAAAAATTGCGTGGAAGAATCATAGCCATTCAACTAACAACCCGTGAGTAATGGACTCTACCTCTATATTGAACGTACGTTGTTGCTAAAAATTCATGCGAAACTGAGTATTATTTTTAGAAATACTTTGTGGAGTGTATTCTTTATTATGGAATGAGAATTATACCCAGCATAAATTCTATATCCAGTGCCTTATACTTTGTAAAAACAGCTCTACAGCTGCCTAATAGTGCAATATTAGTATGTCTACTGCTAAGGGCTGTGCTAAAACTAAGATGGCATCTCTTATGTTTTTCTTAGGTATTCCCAGTTCCAAAAAGAGTACACATTAGATGAAGTTCTGCAATCTCGCAAAATTTTTGATTTCTTGACTGTCTTACAGTGTTGGTAAGGACTTAGCATTGTGAAATAGATCTTGATGTTAAGACAAATATGGTAGGACATCTATTTAAATACAAGTCTGTTTGTGTGTAAATTAAAATGTACAGACTATTTTAAATAACACTTCTTATAAATGAAACAGATGTGGAATCTCCTGTCTTGACCAAACACTATCTAGATACTTGTTCACACTATAATACAGTAAGCTGAAACACATTTTGTACTTTGGGGCTCTCTTGACATTCTGTATTTTTTAGCAATGTGCATCTGTTGCTGTTAAGTGTTAATTCTTCTCTTCAGCCTTTCCTATACACTCCTGAAAGGCTTGTTGTTAACAATGTTTATAGCCAAGTAGAAGTTTTGATTTTTTTTTTTCTAAATTGAAAAACCTAATGATATGTTTCTATTTTATGTCATGCTTTTCAAATGTCTGTTACAAATATTACTGAAAGCGTCCAGCAAACAGCGATGGAATTTACAGTTTCAATGGCATCAGCCAAAGGAAGTGGTTTTTCATTTGTCCTTTTTGGTTTTTGGTTTGTATTAGAAGATAATTCTACGGAAGATCGACATTACTCATTTAGAATGATGACATCATTATTTTCTTTCAATCAGTCCGACATCAAATGGTGCTGCAGCTGCAGTTTTGGCTAGTGAGGAGTTTGTGAAAAGGCATAAGTTGCAGTCAAAAGCTGTGGAAATTCTAGCCCAGGTGATGGTTACTGATTATCCAAGCACATTTGAAGAAAACAGTTGTATGAAGATGGTAGGTTTACAATTCTGTATTCCCTGACACTCCTCACAGGTTTTTTTTAATATCTGCAAGTCCTAATGATACTGTAGCTATTTCCATGTCAGTAGAGAAACAAATCTTACTTTGTGGTGAATGTGAAAGTAATTTCATTTGGGCAGGTGGAGTAAACAAAGGGTATGGTTGTGGAATAACAGGAAGAAATTTATGAACAGGCTATCAAAAACCTAATTGTTAACAAATTATTTAAAGGCTACTTTTTAAACAATTTGAACTGCAAGAAAAACATTTCTTTGATTTTGCTGTTTATAAAAGTAATAAAACTTAAAACAATTTTACTTATGTCTGTGTAATACTGAAGCTGAAATAACTTGTTGGGTGTAGTCATGATTACTTGCTTACGTAGAATGAAGGGAAAGACCCGAACTGCAAAATTTGGATCCCACTGCAAATTGACTAAAATAATTGGATGCAAGTCAAACCATTAGAATATCCAATAGTTTCTACTACAGTGATGTTCTGTTTGGGTTTCAAATACAATTCTAGTCAGATGGCTGATAGAAAACAGTAGCAAGACAGTTTGAGGATTTGTTTCAAGGCTGTTGGTCTGAGTCATGCAAAGGAGCATTTTGGCTTTTGAGCGGGGTTGAGGAAATAGAGGATATTCCCCAGAAAAGTTTCCACATGCCAACTGTGAGACTTGGAATGTATTATTTCTGTACAATTCGTGCTGTATGAATATTAAAATCTGTGATATGTGATGCATTAAAATAAATTAGAATGCCATCTCCTATAGGTTACTTTCACTTACAGGATATATAGAAGCACGTTTAAGTGTAGAAATGAAATTGCTAGCTATGTTTCTTTAATGATATTTTAATGTACAATTTCTTGTTGCAGGTTGGTTATGATATGACTAAAAAAGCTGCAGAGAAATGTTTTGAAAAAGCAGGCCTAAAACCAACAGATGTTGATGTGATAGAACTTCATGACTGTTTCTCAGTTAATGAGTTCATTACCTATGAAGCTCTGGGACTCTGTCCAGAAGGTAATAGCATCAATGGAGATCATTGTTCTATTAAAATGGAAAGCATTAAAAATATCTTTTTATCTGTTCATATAATTAAAACTTTTGAGTTGTCTACTGGACAGATCTTCTATATTTGAAAGTCTTCTTACCTAACCTCATAAGAGGGAAAAGCAAGTTACTGCTGCAGTAACATAAGGAATACCTGCAAACTCTAGAATTAGTTTAACAAATGAGTGTGTTACTGTGATTTCTGAAGAAATATACACAGCAAATTAAAGCGTTGGATGCCTGTGCAGGGATGACTCTTTTAAGCAAGTAGAGCAGGGAAATTAAGGACACTTGTGATCTTTCTCAGGATTACGCCCCCTTTTCAGGGCTATGTACTTACCTACCCCAAGATTTCCCTCCATCTTTGTATTTACTTTTAAGAAGGTAAAAAGCAGACAAGAATTGCCTATCAAGGGCCTTACCAAGTTACTTATCTTTGATATAATTTTTTTTTAAATCTTGAAACATCTTTGCCTTTGAAAATAGAGTTGTTGGCAAGTTGTGAACATGCCTCTAAAGTCAGCTGTATAGCAGTGCACAATCTGTCCAGATTAATTTCATTGAAGTGAGTGGATTTACAACAGGTTAAATGGCAGTGGAGCTTAGTTCTATGTATGTAAGTTAAACCATTAAAATTTTCTACTGAAGAGTTTTTTTTGTTTGATTTCAAATATATCATGCATTGAACTGCTACTTCGGTATTTGATATATTTAAACTCTGAATGTATTCTTGCTTTGCATAAATAATCATCTGATGTAATCTTTTTCGAACTTGTTTTTAACTAATTTTGAGAAAATATCATACTCTATCACTAGATGGTGTATTGTATTATGTCTAAGCTTTCTCACTGTAACAGAGAAGTTCATAGATCTTCGGGAAGACTTTTTGTGTGTTTGTTGGTCTTCAGATACTTGCCTTTGAATGCTTGGTTTTTACTGTCATCTTTGCAGTGTTTCTATAGTATCTGCAGTAAAAAAGGTAAACGTTTGACATTATTTAAATAGATATATTAAACTTTTTAGCTTCATTCATTTAATCAAAGATACAGAAGAATCCTAATGGTACTTGTCTATTTGATCAATAAGTCAAGTGTATGGTAATTTAATAGTACAATTCTCACCACCTTTCAGTCAGTCTGACATTAATAGTATGTGAAACTTACCTTGGAACGGTAGACTAATTAGACATACTGATTAGTGAAATGGCATAAACCACATTGTGGATTTAGATGGGCAAGACTAACCTGGTATTCTGATTTAATGGCAGAAGTGAGTTATAAACACAGGAAATGTGGCAGATCTTTTTTAGACTTCAATGTTAATGTAGGCTGAAGAAGCTGGTACAAGAATAAAGGAGTAAGGGACTGTTAAAAGGGAGAACTGTCTGCTGAAGGCATGGGAGCTAATAGTCTGGAAAGCTAAGCAATTCTAAGCATTAATCTTATGAGTGGGTTTACTATCTTAATGTCTTAAAGCAGCCCAGGGTACCGTTAGCTGCCTTTGTGGCAAGGGCTCACGTTCAACTCTATGTTCACCAGGACCTCCATGTCCTGGGGGTCACAAATTATGACTAACCCCTGTTTCACAAAAAACATAGTTATCAATGCAGTTTCATTCATAAAATAATGAACAGCTTCATTATATTGATTATATCATAATACTGTATATCAACAAAACAGTTCAACAGCAAATTTAAAAAAGCTTTTCTATCAAACACTAGCCCTTTTCTTTCTTCTCCATGTTATGCTTTCTCCAGTGGTATAAGCAAGTCTCATTAATGTAGTTTGGTAATTTCAGTCTGCTCTTTGTAAAATCTGTGGTACAGTATTTCCTAGGTTTTGACTGACATGCAGCATCTTCGGTGAGTGACAGTAGAATTGAAAAATCACTTAAAACCAAAAAAGGAACATTTTTCTAAATACTGTTTTATAGGAAGAGCATGTGACCTGATTGACAGAGGAGACAACACTTATGGAGGAAAATGGGTTATTAATCCTAGTGGTGGCTTGATTTCAAAGGGACATCCACTTGGTGCTACAGGTACGCAAAAACATTTCATTTAGTCATGCCAGTTAGATAAGAGATACAGCTCTTGAGCAGGCAGATGCTTCCCACTTTTATTTGTCTGTATGAAACATGAGGGCTTCATAAGATGAGAACGAAGCTGTGGAGTTGATTCTCATTTCCAACTAATGCAAGCTTTAGGGCAGGTGCACCACGTAGTATTGCTCAAACCAAAAGACTTGGAGTGTGAATTTGATCATTAGCACTTACTTAATTTTGTGGTGCATTTTTTTGTCGTTGTTGTTATTAAAGCAAGCTGCAAAACAGCTTAACTTTTTTCTAAATAATTGCTCAATAGTACAGCTTCTACTGAATGTAGTTTGAATAACTATTTTCATATGTTGTCATCCTTTAAAATTCAGATTTTGGAGATTTTTACTGCATCTGAATAGCCTGTACCCTTGCTAGCTGTAATAAAAGCTATTTCTGTTAAGCCTTGGATGTCAAAATATTTATCTGATGTTTACAACAGAAGCTCAGTTAGTCACCGTTTCCCAGCAACATAGGTTTTCCTTTTTTTTGTTTTGTTTTTTGTTTTCTTTAAACTGCTACGCTTGCTTCCACATGAGATGGCTCTTGGATAAAACGTGTTTGGATTTGTGAAGATAATTTACCTTCCTTTTTTGGAAATGAGACGTTGTCAGAAAATTGGAGAAGAGGAAACCTTGTAAAACAACAAACCTTAATTTAAACAGCTGTAATAGCTAGATAATCTGCACTTAGTGTAGGGAGGGAAGTATTAGGAGACTTTGGAAGAAGAACATTCCGGGTAAATGAGACTGTCGGTATCTGTAACAGGATGAGAGTATTACATTGCTAGGTTTGTGTTACATCTTTGTCAGTTACACAGTGATAAATGTAGAGGCAATTACTGGTATTCACACCTCTATTGCCATGGGATGGGGGGGGAGAGTCATTAAAATGCAGAAAATGACATGTCTACAGACTGTCAGCTTAACTTCACTGTAAAACAGTCTTGAGGCCAGCTGTGTGCTAATCAGTGGTCATAGAAGTTGTCTTAAATTTCCAAACCATTTCAGGGCAGGTTGTACCACGGTACACGTTCTCTCCGTGAGGCTGAAGAGAATGTAAATGAAACCTATTAATTCTCAGCTATGACTGGAACTACAAAACTTCTCACCGGCCCCCTTCGTTAAAGTTTTGGGTGGCAGTGCGTAAAATTCAGTGCCTAGAATGCGGCTTCGTCCTCTGCCTTGCCCGAAGGCCTGTTGTCTAGGGGAAGGGAGAGGAAGGGATGGAGGTCTGTGGGTGATGGAGGGAAGATGAGGGAAGGAAGTTTGTGGGACACGCCTGGAGCATGTTCCTGACGTCATTTAACCACTTACGCTCTGTGCTCGATTTTTCAGGCCTGGCGCAGTGCGCCGAACTCTGCTGGCAGCTGCGCGGTCTGGCCGGGAGGCGGCAGGTCCCCGGGGCAAAGGTCGCGCTGCAGCATAACCTGGGCATCGGCGGGGCCGCGGTGGTGACCCTCTACGGCATGGGCTTCCCCGGAGCCGCCAGGTGAGAGCCCCGCGGGGTTTCATCCAGCCCAGGAGGTCCGATTCCGCTGCGTCATGGCCTGGCAGGAGGAGCGGTGGGGCAGTTGAGGGTCTGCCCTCTGCGTGTAGCCGACTTCTGGAGGAGGAAGGAAGCGCTGTGTGCAGTGAAAGACCTTGCAAAACAGTCACCTTTCGGGCCGTATCTCTACAGAGCGAGAAAATGCACTGCGGGACGAAAACCCACGTTCGGCATTCGTGTGCAGGTCTTGGCGATGCTGTCATGGGAAACTTTCACTGGGGGTTCAGTAGTGGTGTAAACTAAGCTCACTTTGTTTTGTTTTGACTGTGGTCCCATACCTTGGTGTTTCACAGTTCATTTTTTTTTTAGAATTATTGTTTGCCTCTGTGCAAGGAAGAAACGGCCCTGTAGACTAAAACTTGCTCAGCAGTTGGGACTGTTGTGTGCCTACAGCACTGCAGGTGTATACAGAGATTATAATTGTCTTATTCCCGAGAAACAATATACACTGTAAGTTATAAGTTATTGAAAAGAGCAAACTGGCCCATCAAAATGGCTCGTGTGATTCCCTGTAAGGAAAAGTCTAATATTTTGAGGGGAAAAAAGCCAACAAAACAAAAAAACCCTTCCAGGAACAAAATGGGCCACATTAAAATGAATTAATTGAAACTAGGGACTTGCCAAAAAAAGCAAGACATCCATGGGACTAGACATACTCACTGCTTTCACTGCTAAAATTGTGAACTAGTTTGGTTTCATGAAGAATTCCTTTCAGCTGTATGTGTTTCATGTGGTATTCTAAGTACTCATTAGAATTCAGGCATGTTACTCATCCAGTCCTGGCTAAAGAATTTGCACTTGCAATTGTAGCGTACTTCAGCATGAGAGGAGAACACTGCTGTGAAGCTGTCTTGCAATCTGCTATGGTTATATGCTAGGATGGACAGGAATTGAGGGAAAACACTTAAAATTTGTAAATATACCAGAATTTCAGGAGATGCTTTTTTAATACACAGTTCCCTGTACATTTTCACTTTCAACTTTGCTTAGAAAGATTGAGCTACTCTTTGTGGGTATTATGGTTTTGGTTTTAAAGCTCAATGCCAGTGCTTTATATTTGCTCTAAAAACCTGTGAACAGTAAAATTTATCATATACTGGACTTTTAGAAAGAAATTCCCCTCCCAGCTCATATTTCGAATGACTGTTTTAGCTGGACCTGTACAATTCCTAGGAGGTGGCACTATAATCTCTGGAAGAGATAATGAGAGAAGCAATTGAATTTTGAAGGGCTGCAGCACTAACTTTTTGTAGTACAGTGTCAGAAGTGGCAATCCTGTCACTTTTGTAATCTGTAAGAGGTTAGACCATATGAGAAAATAGGTGTGATACAAGAAAAATCATGTCGTCTTATAGATTCTCTTCAAACGTGCTTACAAAACTTGGCTGTAGGTGTTGGTACATGGTTTTAAATCAGAGGGGAAAAGACTGTTATAAGGAGTATACTGTGTTTCATTGCTTTGAGCTTTGTTTTTAAAAATATTGCAATTTTATGGAAGAGGGAATCTGTTGCTTAACTTTGAGGTGCTGCTAGAAGTAGTGCCTTCCTGTCTGGGAAAGCTTTGCATGTATAGATGTAGAAGAAATTAAGACTAATTTACTACAGCTCACTTCACTTTCTTCAGTATTGAGAATTTTTAAAATCCTTTCTTTGGTACAACTTGAAACAGAGAAATCTTAGCAACACTAGTTTTATCTTACATTAGAGAAGCTTAAAAACCTTTAGTTCTCCCAAGGGCTTTGTGTGTGGGAGATACCCGACTCAAGGAGTTGCACTAATGTGTCTCAGACTTTGGAAAAAAACAGTGCGGCTAATCTGTTCAGACTCTGCTTATGTAATTGAATGATGTTGTGTGTTGTGTAATTAAGGGAAAGGTGGTGGCATTTCATGTTTATGAAGATACTTCATACTGTTTTTTCTACTGCAATGCATATACACTTAATAATTGGATTCAGATCTAACCTGTAATTAGTGGCTTTAGTAATAGCTGCCGAGAATGTCCATCAAGGTAAATGACAGCAAGACTTGATCCATTTTGGATCAGTCTTTGAAACAGTTCTGCTTTTTTTTGTTTGTTTGTTTTGACACGTTACAATTTTACATCCTGCTACTACAGCCTTGGTTTATTAGCAAAATTGATGTGTCCTCTTCAGATGAGACAGTCCCTGCTATTGCTACCCTAGCATACATCTACAGGGTAGTGTTAGTACCACACAAATAAGTTCTAGCAACATTCCTTAAACAATTCTGTCACTTTAACAATATCAAACCTGACCATAGTTTTGAACTCTCCTGCCAAGAGATGGTAATAATTGTAACCTTGTTTTTCCTGCTGCTTGAATTGCCATTTCTTTGGACATCTCTATACTTATTTCTGCTCTGGGTGCCTTTGCAGAAATGAAGAATTAGGTTTCATGCTGCTATCAGGCCATGCAGGTCACTGCTCCAGAGAATCAGGAATAATGCTTAGTACCTATTGTGACAATTGAGACTCACATGAACTGGGAGGCAAAATGGGATGTGTTTTGCCAAAGAAAAAAAAAAAGGGGGTATTTCTCTGAGATGGTGCATGTGCTTCTCTCTCTTCACACAAGGTGTGGCAATAGTGTTTGGTGATTTATCTTAACAAGATTAATTATTTACTTTCATTACAAAATTAGTGTCCTGCCCATTCATGCAAAAACATCTAGATACTTGGGTGTCGAGCCCATCAGAGAGTAAGCTTCACTTTGATATCATATAGTTGCTCTATACTGCTAAAGTGTTTCAGTGTGGCTGTTCTTGCTGGTGTTAGGCTATTCATGATAAATTGAAGATGCTGAAAATGTGATTAAAGGTATGTAAATGAATGGGTTTTTCATTTCAGCACCGGCCGTATTGCGGCTGTGCCTCTCAGTGCAGCTGTTGAAGGATTTAAGTCACATTTGGTCTTCAAAGAGATTGAAAAGAAGCTCCAAGAGGTATTGACTACTTCTTTTACCTACAAAAGGATTTTAATTTATGACAGAACATGTGTGAAGCCTGATGGGAATATAGTAGCATCAATCACTTCCTCAGTATGGCTCATTGAAACAAATGTTACAGCTTTGAATTTTGCTGTGTCAGAAATCTTTCTATGCTGTGCCATGATTGTAAATTACTTTTTTCAGACAGTTCCTACCTGTATAAGGGTATTTCAGTAAAGGCAAGTTTAGATTGTATGCGAGGAGCTTGCTAACTACACAATAAACTTTGTGTTTGGTGTTTATTGCTTGCTTTGTAAGTGTGATTGGAAGAAGAAGCTACATTTTGTCAGACTTAACATCAAGACAAGACTGTTAGGACAGTGGTCATTTTTCTTAGTTGGTAAGTTTTAATATAGATAGTCATAGTTTGTGGGTTTTGGTTGGTTTTTTTTATGGTTGCTTAAATGAAGCCTAATAGAGGGAAATAGATATTTCTATGTTAGTAGAAAAGCTAAAGGTTTTTAAATTACTTTCTGTTTAATTCAAGCTATTTTAAAATTATTTTGAAGTAAATTAATAATTTGCACATTACGTGGTCATTACAGGAAGGAGAGCAATATGTCAAGAAAATTGGTGGAGTCTTTGCTTTCAAAATAAAAGATGGTCCTGGTGGGAAAGAAGCAACTTGGATAGTAGATGTGAAAAATGGTAAAGGCTCTGTAGCAGTTAATTCAGGTCAGTGCTGTTTTATTATGTCATTGCAGAAAACATATGAAACTAGTGAAAAGAATATAAATTCATATTCTGTTTAAGCTATAGTGACCTCACGTAGAAGTAGTGTAGAGCTACCTTAATTTTAAAATTTTCTTGTTACTGACACTTCATGAAACATCATGTTTCAGACCAAAAATTAAAGGTCTTCTACTCTGTATTCTGTCTAGATAATTGCATGTTTTCTTAGAGGCTCCAGACAGATCTGTCATGACTTTTACAGGAATCAGAATATTAAAAAAAAAAAAAAAAAAAAAAAAATCAAACCTCAGGGGTTTTGTTGTTCTTGCCTCTTAAAATTTGGGCCAGAAATGTAATTTGTAGCTGTTTCTTCAGTTGTTTTGTTGGAGACACTGGTAGGCGGTGAGCTGGTCTATCTTGTCAAGTTACTTCTCCTCTGCAGTTAATTAAGCAATAAAACTTGACTGATTTTAATACTGTACCAGCTGACATAAATTTCAAGTTCCATTTTTAAAAAGGCAGACATAAGACACAGACTGGGGGGTGGTGGGGAACCCCATAAAATTATTGGAAGCAAAGGATTGTACCCTTGCCATGAAAATGTCTTGTCTCACATCTTAAGTCATGCATCCTAGTAATGTAAATAAAAAGCCAAAGACAACAGTCTGTCCTCAGAATCTCATATATCCATGAACCTGCATCATAAAACTTTTAATTAAAAACATGACAGGGGATTTGATTTGGAATTAATTGATCTAAGTTATTACAAAAGGAAAAGCACTGGTTTCTGTTGTATGGACAACATTTTATGAAAGACTTAAGTTTAATAATAAGATGGGTGTAGGAAAAGATGTGTGCAGTTTTTAGCCCTTTGGTATATACATTAATATTTCTATCAGAGCTTATGAAAATAATTTTTCAGCTTATTTCTGGTAAGAAGATCCTAAAAACTTCTGGATTTGAATTAGTTCAAATGAGTGCTTTTAGAATGCATATGTTGTTCCCGTTGAAGGAAAGGGCAGGAAATGCCTGAAATTTCACTGATGAATATCTTCAGAGAGTGTCACAGGGGAAAACACATTTATTCTGAGATGATCTTAATACTAGCAAATTTAAGCTTGATAAAACTAAAGATGATTGTCAGTGCTTGCAATTAACATTCTGTCTGGTTACAAGTAGATTATTATTTCTTTTCAGGGAATGAATTTGCTTAGCACCTTTCAGAAAGGTCTGTCTTTCTTCAGTGTTAAGATGCTCTGTGCTACAAGGTGGCACAGATGCCTGTTGGCTATTGGGTGAACTCTTGCTGGTATTTTTATAATGGCCCTTATTTGTATGTACTTCAGGTACCATTTTGCTAACCTGTAGTATCAACAGCTTCTTCATGGAGTTGCAGCTTCTATTACTGTTTCATCTCTCAGTTTGAATCTTCATAGTCAACTCTATCTTACAGATAAGAAGGCGGATTGTACAATTACAATGGCTGACGCTGATCTGTTAGCTCTCATGACTGGCAAAATGAATCCTCAGACAGTAAGTACAGCAAAGATGAGATGGTAAGAGGACTGACTTGTTTGTTTGAGTGTGTTTAAGTAGAAATCATTTAAATAAATCCTCTACTCCAAAACTGCCATGGCTGATCTGAAAAATGACAGTTCTTGACTTTCTCTGAAAAAATTGGCCAAAGTAAGATTAATCAAGACAGACAGTATCTACTCTGAACAGGTACATATTATCTCAGACATCCTGCAAGTAATCCAGAAGGGGATATAATAGTGCTCGGTTTGCAGAGAAGAGGGGGAAACTAGTGTTTGCAGTGTGACTTAAAGGAGGAATGTTGGCCCTCTGTTTGGAGGGCTTTACGCTCATAGCTGGCATTAGTATAAGGAGTAATCTTGGTGCTGAAAAATAAAAGTTGAGGTGAGCATCCACTGAATGCCTATTATTTGGTTTTCTATTCCTCAGTGTGTCAAAAGCAGCCATAGTGTACAAAGAAACCAGATGTTTAAGTGAATTTTAAGTTGCTGTTCCGTACTTCTAAATTTGTTCTGGGTAACATTCTTTTAAGTTCTTGGTCTGGTAATCACAGGGTAAATAAGAATTTTCACAAACTAAAGTGTGTCTAGGAGAAGTTTGAAAGTAAAACACATTATAGAAATGTTGTAACATGTAGGAAATTCAGAAGCAATTGCAATTTTACATCTACGGTTTGGATATTTTAGTGCATGCAGTTCATCTTTCCAGAAGGCCCAGAGGACAAAAACCCAAATCTTTAGTGTGTCTGCTTCACAAACTAGATTTGTAAAACTGAATTAATCAGTAACAAAACCGGTAATGGCTAGGGGGGATTTAAGTAAGAAATCAGTTGTGGCATCTACTGTACACTATTGCTTTACTGTCCTCAATTGAAATAGTGAACTTTTATGCTATGAACTGTCATCACCAAAACATAGGGTATTCTGCCCTGCTTTGTATACAGATCTATTGTTATGATAATCCAAGAAACAAGCAATACCAAGTTTATTCTCTTCAGCTATCACAAGTATAATAAGCATACAACTTCTTCCGTTCACTATTCTACCTTCTAGTATCAGAAAATAAATTTGTTGATGAATGTGAGGTGTCTGCTAGAACTGTTGGAATTATAAAACTGCAGGCGAGGACCTGCACATAGATAACCCAGAACTTTTGGGAGGGGCACATTTGTGGTAATATGTTGTACTGCTTTTCATATAATCTTTCTTTCTTTTTAGGCATTCTTTCAAGGCAAATTGAAGGTTTCTGGGAACATGGGCATGGCAATGAAACTTCAGAATCTACAACTTCAGCCAGGCAAAGCTAAACTTTGAGCTTATTAAACAGTCAGTACTTGATATTTTTGACAAAAAAGTAGAATGAAACTAGACATTATCAATAGTATGGCACAGGCTGGGTTTGATTGGACCTCTCTCACCTAAATTCTGTGGTTAGAGACCTTAATTCTCTTAAATTCCATCAGTTTCTCTATGGCAAAGATTTTTAGGCTAAGCTTGAGGCACTAACTCTTACAAATGGTACATGGTGGGTATTTGTGACAATTTTTGTTTTAATAAATACGAAAAATTTTACAGAACTTAGAGCTGAATGAGGCTACTTGCTGTTGTTCAGGTTAGTTGGGAAGAGAGTGAGAAAGGTTATAAATAGTTTGACATATCAATTAAATGAGTTGCATTTTTTTAAAAGCTGTAATAGCAGGTCATACAAATGCTTTCAGACTTCCATTCTAACAAATTTGCTGCTGCTTAAATTAAAGTGGTCTTATAAAGGGGATCTCTGAAAATTTTTTTTAGAATAGGCTTTAGGAATTTGCTATAAAATACTTTTCTTATTACTACTTTGGAATTAAAAAATAAACAAAATCTCCAGAAGTAAGTAGGAACTAGAATATTGCTTTGAGATTCACAGGATTTGATAATGTTTCACCTTGAAAAAATTAGGTTCACCAGGAGAACAGAGAGGAAATATAACCAACACTTTACCTGTTCTCTCCTGAGAAAATCTGGTGTTGATCATTATGAAATTCTTATCAGTAATATAAACGCTTTAACTGGTGTTTTGGGAAAATGTATTCTGGTTGGAAGTTTAATAGAAAATTAAATATACTTTTCCTGTTCTTCTGTGTGTCTCTTCCTCAGATTTATAAACATAGATTTCATGTTAATGCACTGAATTGACTATTTTATAGAGGTTGTCATGAAGGGCGCCTGCAGTCATCCATTTTTTCTTCCTCTGGCATTGTCAGTAGATACTCCATAAACTACGTGTCAGTCCAGTATATACACCTCACATATGTGGGCCATGACTGAGGAACTTATGCATAAACTTTCACTTCCCTGGTTTAGCTAAAATCATAATAGAAATGAGCTAGTTCAAGCCAATCATTCTGCTTATCTAGTGTGAATGGTTAACAGATTGCTGAGCAGTAAGAATGGCTGTACTGAATCAGACCAAAAATCGATCTAGCCCACTGTATTTTCTGGCCATTGATACCTTGGAAGGAATATTAAGATGGCTGAAGCATCTATTTACCCAGAATACTTTCCTCGTTGCCAGTGATTTTAATTTTTTTTTCTAGCTCACAAATTTGAGCCAGTGTGTCTGTATCTAAAGTTCTTGGTGGATAGTCTTTCATGGGTTTGTCCAGTCCCTTTTTGAATCCTTGACAGCATGTTTAGCATGGGTCAAGAATTTCTGTAGCTTACCTACATGCCATGTGGAATTAAATTTATTCCTTTTTATCTTACACACTGCAGTGTTATTTTATACGTCTTAGTTGCTTTTTTTTGTTGTTTGGTTTTTACTGGAAGAAACAGTGAAACAGCTTCGAAGCACTCCTGGTGTTTACAGTCTTGCCCCATCACCTTCAGGCTTCACGGCTTAAAGAAGAGGATATTCTATTTAACTGTGTCACATGGAGAGACCCTTGAAACCTTTTGGCCATCCATGTATCCCTTCCTGTATGCTGCATTAGGATTGTTCTGTTAAAAAGCTTTCAAGATACAAGAGCATTTTCAGCTTTTATTTTTCTTTCCTCAGTTGCTTTTCTGACCATTGCTAGTTTTGAGCTGATGTTTTCTTAGATCTCTTAAAACTGGGGGCTCATTTCTTTCATATTAACTCAGTGCTTATTTCTGCAATGTGAAGCTCAAACTTTTCTTTTTAATTATTGTTCCATATGCATCAGTTTCTTTATACTGAATTTCAACTGTCTGGTTTACTGTCCGGGTGCTCAGTGGTCAGACCTGCTTGCAGATCTTGTACTCAGCCCTGGTCTTTAGTATCTGGATGAATTGACTTTTATCACCCCACCGTTTATCTTTTCCAAGGCATTAGTTTGATGTTAAAATAGGACAGATACGGCTTTGCTCCACCGTAAACTTCTTAATATACAATCTGGTCATATGAATCGGGTTTCCTCTTGTGTACTTGTTCATTGACTTATTCAAAGGATTGGAGCAGATAGGAGTCATGTCTCTCAAATGAAGTATTAGCTCTCTGCAAAGTGACATTTGCTAATGTATCCACTGCTTTTTGTAAATTCTTGCCATTTGGCTTGTGGGTTAAAATAAAGGGGAATTACAGGATTGCAGCAGTAATTCTGTGCTGAAAACAATTTGTTCCTCTGCACAGAGTTGCATATACACTCTTGCATTAGCAAGCTTTGTCCTCCTTTCAAATCACTGGTACTACCAGAAGAGCTTTGAGTAGATGTCTGTTATGAAAGCTAAGAACATGCCTTTTCCAAGAATTTTGAGCATGGACACAGCATATTTCTGGCCACCCTTTAAAGAAGCAAATTAATTTTGAAGTGTAAACAAGCTAACATAGATCATAGTAGTCCATACCAATAAATGTTTAAGTAAGATGTGCTCATCAGCAGATTGAAATTGTTTTGGTTTGGTTTTTTTTGGGGGGGGAGGGGGAAGTAGTGCAGTAATACTAAAAAAAAACCAAAAAAACCCCCAAAAAACCCAGTGCAAAAATAACTTTGGAGTTTGTTTGCTACCAAGAGAAAGAATATCCAAGGCTGAGATCCTGGCCTTCAGAGAAATCTCTAGGTTTGTACAGGCCCAGGACTTTCAGGTTTGGGCACTTGCAGATATGATGTTGTTATAACAGAAAAATCCTATATTAAATGTAGATGTTTATTTCACTTATCCATTGTAGCTAGAGGGAGTAATGCAGAAGTTAGCACAGCCTGCTTTCTCTGCTTGCAAGTAAGAGAACTAGTCAATTTTGTATTTCTCCTTCTGCAGTATTTAAGAATATGGAGTAAAGGACAAAGATTTATATTTACCCCATCTACCAGTTAATGTCTTTTTTAGACATCTGTCTTCTGTTATTTCTTCACTTTCAGCACCTTCTTTGTGTCATAATTTACTGAGTATTTTTTAAATATGATAGAATACTTTTTCTAATTTTCCTTTTTCTGGGAGTGAGGTTGGGGGGGTATCCTTTAAAAATATCCCAAATCCTTCATTTACATTCTGCAGTCTTAGAATTTGATAACTTTGAATAAATATATTCCACAGTAGACAGAAATAATTTGCCCTGTTCATCATGATGAGAAAGTAGGCAAAGCTCTGTGATACAAAGCAGATTTTGACATCTTTAAGTTCTGTTACTTATTTTTTGCATAACTCAGAGCATTACCTAAGTTTGTACCATTGTAGAAATATGTTTATGAAAGTTTTCTTTCTCTATAATGCTCCCTTGACCAAGCAGCATTAAGCACCTCTTCTCCAGCTGAAATCCTCTGTAACTTTAGATCAGCCTTTCTTACAAAGTTTGTGTTGTTGCAATTCTGTTATGTTAACTTGATTCCTTGAGGGCAGAATTAGAGAGGTAGCTAGAGCTACCAAAAAGTAGCCAGTCACTGAACATAGCAAAGTTTAAATTTTTGGTTTCAAAGGCCTTGTATAAAAAAAAAAAAAAAATCCTAATCCTCTAGGCAGAGGGTTTAGTGTTCTCAGACTCCCAGTTCACAGGAGAGGAAATTTAAGCTTTAGACATGAAAATGCTTAGGAGGGTTGTTCTTCCTTCATGGACTCTGGTGAATACCCTTTGCAGCTATTGGGATTTTTATTTTTTTTTTACACCAGCTGTGATAAATGTGTTAATCATTTGACAGCCAGAGATGCTGTCAGTTTGGTAGGCATATCTTATCTTTACTTTCTTTTGTAAAATTCATATAATTATTTCAGATATGTATTTTCATAATAAAGAAAGTAAAACACGTTTCAGTGCTATAAGAGAAGCAAATAGATTTGTCAGAGTTGGAACCAGTGAGCAGTGATGCCTGACTCAGCAGATCTGGCTTGTGAGAATTTGACTGAATGCTCTGATTTTGGAGCACGGATTATATTTTTAAACTTTTGAGTTTTGTCTTTCAATCCTGCTGCTTTGCCTAGTCAGAAATAGATACAATGCAGTACGTTACACTTACACACTTCATACCATATGTGTATTCAAAAGTGATTGCTGCTTTTCCTAAAATTAATTTGAGTCATTAGAAGAAAAGCTGAGGGTCAGGACATGGCTCCTTTCTTAAGAAAATGTGCTACTTCAAGAAACCTCAGTTCCTATGTTGGTCAGGATAACAAATAGGAATTTGAATTTGGGGTATTTGCAAGAGAGCACTCTGGATAAATGAGGGCATATCCATGGGCAAATGAGGCAGTCTAGGGGGAAGGCAGTTGCTGCAGATGTATGTTGTTTTATGGGGCTGGCCTTACCTCTTGAATAACTTCATGAGGGTGTGTGACATAGAGTGCCTAGTACAGGTGTTCATAACTGCAAGTGTTAGAAGGGCAGTGGAGGATCTGGCGAGTGTCTCCTTGTGGCTGTATTTGTGTAAAGCGAGTCCTCCTAGTACAAGCTAATCTGGGATCCCTTTGGTAAGCAGCAGAGAGGGATTAGTTTGCTCAAGAGAGGAGGTTGTGAACAGCTGAGCATGGTTTGCGGCAGCAGGGTTAAGGAGCTATTCTTTTGGGCAGCAGAGCACTTCAGGTTGCGGAGGATGGGACAAAGGACTTGACTACATCTTCCATCTCACAATAGAAAAAATTTCAAATACTCAAAAGGCTGGATTTGTCCATTTCCCATATGTCCAATTCATCTGAGGTCGGTTTAAACTGTTACCTCCTTGGAACAGGAAATACATCGCTTCCTGTTTTACAGAGCACTGAGCTGGATGTCAGCTCTTGTTAAACAGAAAAGAATAAGAATGCGATTAGCCTGGTGGATAAAAGGCAGGAAAAAGTCTCTTAACTATGAAAAATCAACACTTGGGGAAGCAAACCACATGTGGAGAACAAATGCTGGAAAAAAACCCCAACTGTTTGGAACAAATTCCTTTATTACTTAAATAAACAACAGCATAATTTGGTGGAGTGACAGTGTGAGCGGTTCTGTACCCTGTATCTGTAAGAATTCATTGCTAACTTAAAAGCAGATGGCTTTATATGGCGCTGGGTGGGTTCTCTGGGAAATGTTAGTTATATACTGTGATGCAGGAAGAGGAATATCCTAATAACGCTGCAGCAGGCTAAAAGGAACATGGATAGTATAAAACAAGTACAAAATATGCTGTGTCTGTATCCCATATTTCAGGTAGATTAAAAGCAGTCATGGATTTTTTTTTTTTTCAACAGTATATGTCCGCTGAGAGAACAGACATCTTAAAGTTCATTCGGATCAAGATGCAGATGCCAATAGGCTCATGGCCAGGCTCTGTTGTGCATTCTTAGGTTTGAAAAATACTTCCCTTCCTGCTCTGGAGACAAAAACCCCTTTTGCTCTTTGTGTTTTGATTACTCATTTTTTGAAGCAAATGACGGCAAGTTACTTGAAAGAATTTTAATGGGCTTTTTTCTCTCCTTTCAAATAAAGGCACAGTATCAGCACAAAGCAGTGGACACTTCAGGAATGCCAGTATTTCTGTAGAGTCTTATTTAAATCAGATAAATAAAGGTGAGAGTAAAGAACGTTTGATTACCTTTTAAGATACAACTAAAACTTAAATCTCCTGAATGCCTCATGTCTCGCTCTATGCTGGTCACAACTGAGCCGATCCCTGTAGAACCCCTGTTCTTGGAGCTCATGCTTCAATAGATCTGCTTACACCTTTTGTTCTCTACCATGTTGCTTTACTGAGGTGTCTGTTATTTGAGTTTATCATATCACATCTAAATTTAGCCTATAATCTCTTTAGGACAGCCACAATAGTTGCAAAGTCAGAGCTGAGCAATTCTCATGGGTTTGAGCTACCTCTGTGCTGTCCTGATCCTCTGGTTTCAAAGGCAAGTGCAGCTTTGGTGTAACATGGATAAGTCGTCTGGCTTTCTCAGTTACAGTAGTGGAATATAGTGTACTGCATACTGCAGCTTGGCCCTGGACATGTCCTTACACTGATGTCTGCAAGAGTATCTTTGAAAAATAAGAGCTCAAGTTAGCAAAGTCTGTCCTTTACCACTACTGGGGCTTTTTTCTGCTGGAGCCAGTGCAGAAGGTTGGGTCTTGCACAGTGCGCTGTGGGCCAGGCCTATTACAAAAGCACTATGGCGTGGACATGCTGTCATAGCTGCCAGTTGCTCAGTGAAGTACCCTAGCAGTTGTTTGCCCAAGGACCTGTTTCTCTCCCACCTACGTGATCTGAAGAAGTAATTGTACCAAAGTTTAAACGGAGCCTTCAGCTTCAGTTTTTAAACCTGAAAATGTTTCTTCATTTAGGCTGCAACCACCACTTGTCACCCATCAGCAGGGAACATGCAAGAGTACAAAGACTCAAGTTTGACTGGAAATGTCGCCTGCAACTAATTCTGTGTTGTGAGTTTTGCAGTGGAAGTTCTTTCCTGTGAAAGCACCAGAAAGCTGTAGTGAAAAGAAACTGTGGTTGCCTGAGGCTGTATACCATGCTAGGCCATAATAGCCTTTGGCTTAGTGGTGGGTCAGGACACCTTTAGATAGGTTTGACTCCTGCTCTGGTTTTCCTGGGAATTTGTGTGGGTTCTGATGATGGAAATGCAGTGCTGGGCCAGGAGATAGGAGATTGTGAGTTTGGGCTATGTTGATATAAGAAGGTAAGATGTGGAGGAAGGGAAAGCTTGGAAAAAAACAGCCTATATAGGTAATTTGTTGTATAGTGTAAGGATGTAAGTGTTGACCTTTGCACGTGGGATATCTGGTTTCTAGTACTGGCTTTGTGCTGATGGACAGTCCTGGGTTGGCTATGACTCTTGTGTGCCTCTCTTTCCCCACTAAAGGAGGCATAATGCCTCTCTTTTTATAATGTCCCTTAGTACCTCTAGATGCTACATGACAGCTAAGTACTATATACAACAAAAACACAGATAAAAATGCACTCCTGTGGAAGGTTGAATCCTGCTCTCTTCTCTCCCTTGTGGGCTGCTCTGGCATCAATAGCGAGCCAGGTAATCACCCCACACTTCTGTCTCTCTGCAGAATGGGGTAAGATGGGGTGGTCCCCCAACATAAGCACACTTCTTTTCTCCTCCTTTGAAAACACTATGTAAATTTTGTTGTATAAACTCAGGGTACTGTAACATAGAAAGTGTAGAAGGCAAATGCATCATGGATCTCTGAATCACTAAGAAAAAGCAGCCAGCTTTGTTTTGTTTTTATTTTGGTTTAGTAAAAACACACTTCCCACACTAACTTTTGAAACTTACACGTGGCACAGAGGGGGATCAGTTCCAGTTGATATGAGCTTGGAAGAAGAGAGGGAGGAAATAACTTAATTGCTTTAGACTTTAGTTCAGCTGGAGTCGAGAGGAAAGAATCAGTGTCCCTTTTTTGGAATTCAGCAAG